TGAAGAGGACAGAACCCCCACTCCTCTCATTAACTAACCCATCTGCAAACAGTTTAACTTCCACTTGGTTAAAGGCAGCTCATATCAAACACTTCAGTGTCATTTGGTGCCCCCCTTCTTCCTCTCTCCAGGTGGCAGCCTGGCATGGAGACCAGGAGAGAAGGGAAGGATAAACTCATTCTTTTGTGAGCTCTTCCAGAGGGACTCAAATTCCCCCTTCTCAACCTCAAACCCTACTACAGCCTTCACAGGGCTTGATCCGACAGCCTGAACATTAATCACCTTTCAAAGCCAACAGCAATCATACTTAGTATTTCTCCCCTCCCTTCTTAAATCTGCTCAGATAGGAAAACACACTGATGACTTTTCACTGCGGAAATTAAAGTGGATTTTTCTTGAGCAGGGCCACATGCCCGTACAGCCTTAATCCTTCCAGCTCACATATGTTACTGTAACTTGCACCGCACTGAATCCAATTATGCCTCCTCAATCCACTAAACATTTGAGGCTGTTTGCACAGGTTATCCAGAGCAAAAGTACCAGGTGGGGAGACAAACCAAGCCCTGGTGCAGCACAGCTTTGCCACCTGGCTTCTGCAGGAAGGTGTGTAGTGTGGGGCAGTGGTAGGGAAATTAAGTGTCACAGAGTGACTTTTACAGGCTCTGGTGACTAGCTCAGTCTGGACTCAAACAGGGAGGATCTATACAGGAGACAAGAACTGACATACAGTTATTTGTAAGCGCCTGGTGGTTAGCAGTTATCCATTAAATGCTTTTTAAATTATATTGCTCTGGCAGCATGCACAGCTACGGATGAGCTCACGGAGCAGCAGGTCTCCCATGCATTACACATCAGGCTGGAGCAGCGGATGAATAACCTTGAGCTAAGTAGTCAGAAGCGTCCACAAATGTAAACTGCATGCACACATTAAGCAACCGAGTATCCAACCACTGACTCACACACAGCTGCGAAGCGAAATGCAAGCTCTCCCAGCAGCTGACTATGTTTGCCCTGTCAGCTACAGGGCTGGGACACCAGCTACAGCCGATCAAGTTCCACAAAGGTACCTGCTGGCCTCCGTGGTTTATGCAACCCCACTGTATTCTTAGTATTCCCCCTATAGTCAAGTCATATATAACAGAAACCAACATTACCACCTGTGCTGACAAGGACCTGGCAGGGGCTGCACAGGGTCATCCTGTCCTTCCAGACCTGGCACACAGCATCATAGTTATGCCCCAGCACTTCAAGGGATAAGTTACAGATCCCAGGGCCCTCAGCTATAGCAGGAACTCCTACACTGCCACTACAGAAGTTGAATAGAAATAGCAAGCTATAGCTGCAAAAATAGCACATAGCAGCTTCACACTTGCACCTTAAAGATGAGCTTTTAGGTTTTCCATGACTGCACCACATCCAATCCTTCAGATAACCTCCTTCTGAATACCTGGTATCCCTGCAGAGCACACACATGTAAATTATCTTACTCTGAAAGACAAGCAGGCTAATTCTGATCACTAGGCAGGCTTGCTTTTCTCCGCACGTTCAGGAATGTGTAACTTCATAGCACCAAATTCCTGTTGGAAGAGCAATTACCCGCTAAGTAATTTGGACCCTCTGGAGTCAAGTCTGCCAACTTACACGACTTGGCAATCTGGCTTGCTATCATCCCACATGATCGGAATTTATTTTCGGATCCAATGCCACATGCTGTGGGGTTTTTTTTCCTTCCCCTTTTTTTCCCTTCCTCCCCCAAGTGGCAAGGTACAGCCTGGGATTGAGAGACCCTAATTCCTGTCTCAAACACACATCTTCTGCACAACCTGAGGTCAAGCTCTGTACATTTCAGAGCACTATGAGTGCTATCAACAGCATCCTGGAAACGATCCCACCTTTCTGAACCTCTTAATGAGGACTGGAGGAGGAATTAAGAGCTACATTGACTTACTGGTCAAAACCAATGGCACACATCACCTGAGCTACATCTGCAATGAGATTCAGAGCCATTCCACCTGAACTCTTGGGCCAGGGTAAGGCAGCTCCAGGCTGGGCTGCATCACCAGGTACCTTCTGCCACGACCTGTTCTCATAGGCAAAGGAAATGGACTTCTCAGTCCTGCTCTGGCCAGGGGATGCCAGTTTGCTGCGCTGCTAAATGTCAGCCTCCACACTGAAGACAATAAACGCCCTTTTCTTCTCGAGGCGAGGGAGAACCCCACCACCACCACCTTGACACCAGGGCCGGGGGGGGAAGAACGCGTTCAGCTCAGCGCTGCCTCCTTCCTCCAGCACACAGAGGCTGCCCGAAGGCCTCCCGCAACTGCCCGGGGAGCCCAACCCGCTCCGAAGCCAAGCACCCCCCGACCCGCCCGCAGGGTCCGGCTCTGCCCGCGGGGACACAGCGAAGGCGGCTCGGGAAGGGGGGAGCACGGGGCACCCCCTCCCCGCCCCGAAGCTCCCCCGCGGGGACCGAGCCGCGCGTGGGAAGCGGAAGCGCCACCTGCGATCGCGGCGGGGCGGCGGCGGCACCGGCAAGCGGCGGCAGCAGCAGGCAGGGCAGGCAAGGCAAGGCAGGGCAGGGCGCGGCACCCCCGCCGCGGAGCCATGCAGGGCCCGGCCCCCCGCCCGCCCGCCCGCCGCGCCCCGGGCAGTCACTCACATTGCTTGAGGAGCTCCAGACACAAAGCCATGGGAGACACAAAGAAGGGGCGGAGGGGACCGGAGAAACAGGGAGGGGGGAAAAGGGAGCGCTCGGTCGAGTCCCGCGGAGGGGAGGACGGGCCGCACCCGGTGAGGGGAAGAACAGGCCCGGGGCCGCGTCCGGCTGCTCCTTGCGGGCAACGGCGAGAGGAGGGAGGAGACGCGCGGAGGCCGCCGCCGCACTCACCGCGCCCGCCCGCCTGCTCCGGCTGCTCCCCGCGGGCGGGGCCGCGCCTTAAACCGGGCCCCGCCCCGCCCCGCGCGTCACCGCCCCGCCCCGCGCACGCGCGTCACCGCCGGGGGGCGCGCCAACCGACGGGCGCGGTCACGCGCGGTGTCTCCCGTTGGGTACCGGGCACCGGGCACGGCCCGTTGGGTACCGGTGCAGCCCCGCGCTGGGGCCCGGTTATGGGCGAGCTCGGTCTCACGGTTCCGGGACCGGCCATGGCCACGCACCCGCAGCGCGGTTGCTCCCGCCGGAGCGCGGGGCTGGCGGGCGGGGAGGGTTTCCAGCGCGGAGACAATGGATGGAAAAGCAAAGCCGGGGGAAGCGGGTGTTTCCCTGGGCGGGGGCTGCCCGCCGGCAGCTCCGTCCTGCTGGGCACCGTGGGGGGCACCGGGCAGGGCACGGCAGAATGAGGGAGGATGGAAGTGCGGAGGGGACACGGTTGGTGCAGGCTACACAGGAGAATCTGGAACCACGGCGGACTTGGCCCTCTGGGCACAGACATGATAGATGCTGGAGCAGCATCCACCTCCATCCCTCCCTCCACACACAGACATCCAGGGCCGAGCATGAGGCTCACCCAGACTGTGAGCAGGGAGAGCCCTGCGGGACCAGAGCCACACCATGAGACGGTCTGACATGGGATGGGGCAGTGGATGCCCACAAGCCCAGCATGGTGTGGCCACCATGAGAGTGCAGGGCCTGCGCTGTTGCAGGCAGTGGTGCTCCTTCCAGGACCATACGTGCTGCCCTAACTCATCAGTGCTTGGATGCTCTGATTTACCTATGACTCGGCGGGTTCATTGTGCTGCCTGTGGAGAAGGGTTGGTCTGCAGCAAGGAGAGATCAAAGCACCTTGAGGAAGCACCACACTGAGCTCACACAGTACGGGCAGGGCCGAGCCACTTCAGTGATGGAATCACTGTGGATGTGCTGCTGCTGCTGCTGCTCTCAGAGCAGCAAAGTGGGACCAAAGGAAGATTTCAGCAGAGAATGAGCCCTGAGACTTGGGACCTGCACCCAGGGCCTCTCCTCATTGCTGCCCATCAAGGGGAACAAGAAAACTTGTTTTCAGTTCTGCTGCTTCCTAGGAGTGGAGAGCAGCTCTGGGATGAGAGCCCCTTAACCACACAGGCTGAGCAGCTCCATGGACCTTTGAGCTGATCTATTCCTGAGTCCTCAGAAGTACCCACATTGTGGCTCAATAAATGGAAAAAGTAATGGAAAAGCATAAAGGAGAGGAAAGCCAACACAGGACAAAGAGAAATGCACACAAAGAAATCCCCATTTGCCTGTGCTCAGTAAACCTCACTCAGTCCTGCTGTCCTGACACGTGTGTGTCTGAGGTTAGACCGTTGTTGGTTGCTGCTGGGCAATGGCATAAGTCCTGTAGCCACACAGGGAGGTGCAGTGAGGTGCTGAGCATCACTGACAGCAGGGACACAACACAGCATCCGTGGTTGCCCAATATCAGGGCAGTTCTGTGCTCACCCGATCCACATGGATGGCAGCAGGACCAGCGTGCTGGGATACTGCCAGGCCCTTCAGCCCTGGGTGTCTGCTGTGGCCGGCACATTGCCTCCAACCAGTGTGGCCTCATGGGCAGAGCACTGCACTGTGCGTGGGATCCCTGCTGCTGCTCCCCCAGAGGCTCTGCTCCCCCTTGGTGCTTCAGTTTCTCTTCCTCTCCCATGAGGACAGCACTGCCGACTCCCTTTCCTGTCATCTGATGAAAACAAGCAGCAAGGACTTGGCTTCCCAAGCATAGTACCAAAGGAAAAGGTTGGCAGCTGCCTGCCTTTGAACTCCTTTGCAGGAACAGGCTTGGCGAGGACCTTGAAGCCAGGCTCACTTCCCAGTATTAAGCCTATGGGCAACCACTTCAATCTCCCCTGCATCTGCTTGTGTCAGCACAGCATCACAGGAGAGCTGCAGATCCCCCCTTCCTGGAGACCCAACAAGTGACATTTCCATGAGGCTCAAACCCATTGCAGCCGTTCCTGGTGCCAGAGAGACACGTGCAGGCAGCAGAACAGAGCTTATTGAGCTGGGTGCTGCCTGTAGTAGAGCTGAAACCTGGCAGCAAAGAGCACCGAGCACAGCTTTGCTGAGACAGAAGGATGGGGACATTTTGGCAGTGGAACTGGAGAGCAGGGTTGTGGCCATGGTACAGGCTTCCTGGGGAAAAGGGAGCACTGTCTGGGCACAGGGCTTGGTAGTGGAATGTCCATAATAAGGAAAAGATGAGAGGTGAATAATTAACACTTGAATGTGAACAGAAACAGTTGCCATACATCTCTCTGTGTCCTATAGACATATGAATAGCTTATGGAACATGTTTATGTGCCTGTTTTTTCCCCTTACAAACACTGATGGAGCACATGACACAAATCTTCCCCTGGCGCGTGCGTGCACACATACACACACACACACACACACTAATCCCTTTCACGCTGGTATGTCAAAGAAAGCTATTTCTGGAACGTGAAATCTAGGTCAAAAAGAAGGAGAAAGTCTGAAGGCAATGATAAGTCTCTCTCCTGAAAGGGTGCTCTGGCTGATTGAATTAGCAATGGGGTTAGGGTGGTTCCTTACTCCTCGTCTGTGGCTGCTCATGCACAGGTTGAACAGCATCTCCTGGCCTGGTTTGGTTTCTCCTTTGCCTTCACACCACTACTTGTTCCCCATAAAGAAGAGAAGACCATGACAGCCAAGAGAGGAAAGGAGCAGAACTTGCCTTCCCACCCAGACGCTGGGTAATCACTGCACACAGAGGAGGGTGAGGAGGAGGGTGCCTGTACCCATCCCTCACAAACCAGCGCTATGTGACTTTCCCAGAAGCCATGGAAACCTATCCCACAGTGAACCAGCCCTTGGGGATTTGGTCAGCATGATGATGCTTTGTGCTGAGAGGTGCACGGAGGTGTGCAGGTATTTGGTCTTTCCTCCACTGAGCACAGCCGTGGTCCCCTTGCAAGAGCATCAGTACCAGGGGACTGGGCTGGGTTCTCCAGAGGCAGGGTTCCCAGCACAGTGATGGTTCTGGGAGCCATCTCTCTAATTTAAGGATGAAAGTAAATAAATCAAAGAAGCAAAAAGAAGGCAGAAAGCAGGTTGGATGCTGAAGGGCGGCTCTTCTGTCATGACTTTGGGGAATATCTCTCCTATATAGTGCTCTCTGCGCAGCTTGGGCTTGGCAAAGGTTTGGCATATGAACAGGCACGTGGTGTCTGGAGCCCATTCATATCAGCGGTTGTGATGTGCACCCAGAGCTGCCATCAGGGGGTCAGGAGAAAGGGAGAACCAGAGGGTCGCTGTCCTACAGAGCTCACACCCTCAGCAGCATCTTAACCACTTGTGAGATGGGTCAACAGAGACAGCCCAGTGCTGGAGCAGGAGGCAGAGCTGGGTTCCCTGGCGTCCCTGGAGAAGATCTGGGCACAGGATAAGGAGCAGACTCCTGGCTTTCTGAGAACAGGCTGCTGAATCCCAGAGCAGGATGCTCTAAGCACGGGTGGAATTACCAGATGGCATGGGATAGACTGGGAAGAGCTCGAGTAGGAACTGGCTTGGTGTGAGCTTCCCCTGCTGTCACTGGTGCGATGGGTGGAGGCTGGGCTGGGCTCTCTACACTGGGGATTCTCCTCTCCTTTTGCTGTGCTTTGTTCACCTCTGCTTTCCTGTTTCCCCCGGACATCAAATATTCAGCTCTGTATTACATGCAGCCTATTAAACAAGCAATTCCCAGTGCTGCTGCTAATAAGGAGCTGGGGCTGGGGAGCCCTTTGTAATGCTCAGGAGACAGTGTGGCTGTCGGCCGAACACTGGCAATTAGATGAATAGGTTTCACTGGGGCTTTTGAGTCTCCAGCTTCGCAAGGCACAGAGCTTTGTTTAAAGCTGATCAAGGGCAGCTCATCATCTGTCTCACTGGCTGTCAAATGGGATCTAATTGCCTTGTAATGCACGAGTGACACAGGCGTTTGTGGGAGGACCTGGCTTGTCAGAGGTGTGACAGCTTGTCAGGGCTCTCCCACCCGGCCCTGCTCCCCACACAGACCCTGAGAGGAGCAGCCCTTTGTGAAATGGAGCTCGCTGCACTTCAGCTGCTGCCGATCCCCTTTGATTTATGATTCAACCCCCATGCTGTCCTTAGAGAAGGAGAAGCAAGCGTCAGCACAGCACTGCTGCACTGGTGCCTCTTTAGAGAATCACAGAATCCCAAGGGTTGGAAGGGACCTCAAGAGATCATCTGGTCCAACCCCCCTGCAAGAGCAGGGTAACCTAGAGTACATCACACAGGAACTTGTCCAGGCGGGCCTTGAATATCTCCAATGTGGGAGACTCCACAACCCCCCTGGGCAACCTGTTCCAGTGCTCTGTCACTCTCACAGTAAAGAAGTTCCTCCTGATGTTAACGTGGAACCTTCTATGCTCCAGTTTACACCCATTGCCCCTTGTCCTATCACTGGATAGGATGGGTCCTGACAGAGAAGAAACACAAACCCCCTCTCAGGGACTGGGCACATGATGGGAGCAGTTCTGGGCTGGGGTATGGGTGCTGGAGCAGGAAGGTGTCCATGGGAAGTAAATGGGTGATGGTTCTCAGTTTTTTCACCCCAGAGCCCTGCGTGGAGCAGGGAGACCATTAAACCTGCAGACAATGGTGCACGCACCTCTGTTGGCCCAGACTGATGCTGGCAAGCTGAGAAATACCAGTGTGCTGCTCAGGAGGCCCCTCTTGTACACCACCAACCAATTAAAGCCTCAATGATACACATTTGCAATGGTCCAGAGCTCTCCTAGACCTCTGCAAGCCACATCAGCCATGCCAGCTGGATCCCAGCAATCTGGATGCCATTTCAGTGCCTGCATCCAGAGGTCCAGCATCATCCAGAGACCCAGCATCATCCAGAGACCCAGCCATCCAAGTGCTATGCCTGGCTGCTGGGCTCCCATAAGCCCACCGAAGTCTTGAACAAGCATGGCTGAGGATAGGGGTATCTCAGCCCAGCGCCTCACATGCTCAACACACGATGGGCAGCAGCATCCCCTGTCCCTTCACGGCCCTTCCCCTCCGCGGCCGCTGCACTCACTGCTGTTGGTGGGCAGGGTCCTGCTGCCGCTGAGGCTGCCCGTCGGCGGGGGGGAGATGGAGCGGACGGAGCCCGTGTCCTCTTCCTGGGAGCAGCCCGCCTGGATGGCTCGGAGGTAGCTGTGGCTCCGGGAGCGGAAGTAACTGGGCAGAGGCAGGTCCAGCACCTCCGCGGCGGCCGACTCGGCCTCGCTGTAGGTAGAGTCGCAGACTGCCTCGTACTGCTCCCCCAGCTCCGGCTCCGGTGCCTGCACGGGGAGAGGGGCAGAGCCAGTCACCCCCTGCCTCAGACAGCCCTTTCCCTTCCCTTCCCCTCCCTGCTGCTGCTGCCTGGTCCTGCTTACAGCAGGGAGATGCACCAGTGCTGGTGGGATGCAGGATGCCTGGGCTCTCTGCTGAGAGAACAGGGAGAGGGGACCTTCCTTGGAGGCAAGGTCCCTGCTTGTGGAGTAGGAGAGACTTACCACACAGTGCCTGTGAAACAGCCCCCAGTCTGTGATGGAGAGGCTGAGAGCACACGAGAGAGCTAAAATCCAGCCTCCGACTCCGTGGGCCTTGCCTTGGCCATCAGGCATGCTCCTCAGTGTGGGGACATGGCCTTGGCCCTGCAGGCGGGTGCAGGGAAAGAAGGTGGGGAGGTGTGGGCTGGGGGTACAGCCTCCACGCTTGGCCAGGGACAGGCTGCATGGATGGGTTCTGTAGCACATGGGGCTCCATCCACTGTGGGGACCAGGAGAGGGCCTGGTGGCTGCAGCAAGGTGTAAGCTGAGCAGGGGCTTTACTCCCTGCTTCTCTGCTGCCTCCACTGCCCTCCCAGCCATGCCCTCTCTCCAGCACCAGTTGCAGATCGAACTTGGGCTCTAGAGAGGCTCACCCGGATTAAACCAGAGTCAGACCATTCTGAAATACAGATGAGAGATGCTGAGGTTGGCCCTGCTGCTCACTTCCATCTCTTCTGGCCCTTTCTTTGCCTTCAAGGACAGTTCTTCTGCCCAGCATTGGCACCTGAGCTACACAAGGTTTGGCTCAAAAAGCTCATCTACTTTCCCCCTAAACCTACTGGTCCCCAACCCCGCACTGGGGCCAGGGGAACCAAGCTCTCCAGCTGCCCTGCAGGGCCCAGTTGGGAGCACTGCCTTTTTCTCCTTCCTCTTTTTCCTCCTCCTCCTCCTGCTGCTGGCCCTGGGTATGGGCTGACCCCATAGCCTGCCTTGCACCCTGCCATGGGAGCCAGGGCTGACCCAAGAAAGCTCCATGAAGAAGGAAGAGGGAAACGCCAGCGGGACGGTACCTGCTCTCCATGGGTAAATATCTGAGGGATAAGTGAGGGGGGTCCAAAGATCTGGAAGAAAGAGTTGGAGAAGGTTAAAGGCCAAGAAGAGGGGAGCCCCTCACACAGACAGGCACTGCACAGGGACCAAGGACGAGGGGAGCTGTCAGAGCCACAGCTTCTGACACTGGAATACAAACTTCAGAGCTCATAAGATGCCAAGCACGGTGCCACACGGGCTCCTCAGACAGCGGCACAAACACGGCATGGCAAAGCTCCACGGAACGCCTCCCAGACGGAGAGAAGCTGCTGATGCATCCAGCCTGTTGTATGCACCATAGATCCATGTATATACACAGGGCACACTTGGGACACACAACGCTGGGACATCCCTTGGCTACTGGATGAGGGCTGGTGTGGCTCCTGGCATTGGCCAGCACATCACAGTGTGGCCAGGAGCAGCAATGGGCTTCCACAGCCCACAGAGCTGGGGTGATGGGGAGTCTGAGTGCATCATGTCAGGGAAACTCCCCTTCACCCCAATGGGGTCGGGTTGGCCACTTTGCTGCTGTGGCCTCTGTCCCTGCATCAGGAGAAGCCACATGTAAGCAATTCTGCCTTCTCTCTATAGCAAAGCCACAGCACACACTCTGCATAAGGACAGATGCCCAACAGACACTCCCTATGGGAAGGAATGACTTCTCCTCCTCTCCATCCCTGGTCTGCGGAGCACATCCACTCTCTGAGCTCTACCCAGCACAAGCTGCCCCAAATGACCCATCTTGGGAAGAATCCAGGTTCAAAATGTACCCAAAAGAAGAAGCTTGGCTCTGGGGGCTGGGTCCAGCCCTTCTGTACAGGGCACAGCTCAAAGTGTGGATAAGCAGTGATGAGGGTCACCCTTGGTGTTTGATAAATGGATGCTGATGTGCACACCCGGTGAACCCTGGACTTCCAGAGTTTGCAAAGGACAAACCCAAGCGTAGTGGAGTTCTTTCAGACCTGGGATTCTTCTATGTGGGAGGACACTGGTGTCTTGCTGGACACACAAGAAAGCTGTGGGAGGTCACACCAAAGTGAGGGCAGGAGAGGAACTGCCGCTGGCACTGGATGAAGGGCAGGTCAGACCTACTGGAGGATGAGACCAGCACACACTGGTATCTGTACCAGCTCCATCCTGGATCAACAGATATGCAGTTCCTGGGAGGCCTCTAAATCCCAACCCTGCCACATCATGGGCTGCTCAGATCCTCCAGCTCCAAGACCCTTCTGATGTCTTCATGGGTCTGCTGCCCTCAGCTGCTAAATGGCAGTTTTAGAGAGGGACAGAGCACAAACTGAGCCCACTGCTTGTTTGCCCAAAGAGACCATGGATTTACATGCAAAGGACAAGAATGCGACGGTCCTGACCCCTTCTCTGCGCAGTGAGACAGTTGCTGTTGATGTACAAGGGACGAGACTGAGCACAAGGAACACGGATGCCCACGAGCAATGCCCTGTGCCCCAAAGCTCTGCACCAAGGGCTCCAACTGCTCTGTGACAGCAGGAGAAACCAGACAAGGGATGGCAGAGGCTGGGCTGGGACAGAGGAGAGCTCAGAGTCCCATGCCGCTGCAGGGGAGCATTGTCACACACCACTCACCCTCTTGCATGCTCTGCTTTGTGATGCCCATCCCGCTGCTTTAACCCCAGCCTCATGCTGCCACCCTGGATCATTGTGCATGGAGTGGGGCAGCATCGATGGGGCA